AGGAGAAGAATCTGACAAAAGAAAAAAAAACCTCAACTCCCACCACCGAAATTTGCATACTTAATGTATGTATCTATATGAATTATTTGTTTGTCTAACGGCATTTGTTGAATGATTATAATGTTGTTCTGCAAGATAATCAGGTGAGATTTTAAATTAAATTTGAAAGACTTTAAAAGCTCACTTTATTGAGGTCAATGCTTAAATGAATCTTACCGCTAATAAACAACATCTGTTGCCTTTCCTTGCGCTACAGCAACCGCATATCGCCAAAACAAAAACTACCTTACCAGCAAATACCAATATGAACGCAGCATATCGAAAATTTTCAGTCTCGAACATCAAAGCTATGTCTCCACTCATGTTTTCAGCTAAAACCCAGGCACCTAACATCATCATTCCTATGCAGCCAAGCTAAATAATAAAAGCAGTCAAAGTTTAGGCCTTTTTTAAAAATTATGCTTTCGACGTGGAAAAAACATAACGTGTATGCCAATACATGTTACTTATCGTGTTTTTTTGTAACAACAATAATATATAATATAATAGGCCTAATATCAACAGATATAATAATAATAATAATAATAATAATAATAATAATTATGATTATTATTATTATTATTATTATTATTATTATTATTATTATTATCAAATATGCATGGTAGTTTCAGTGTTCAAAAATATTAGACAGGTGGTTATACACGTTGAAAAAACATAACGTGTATGCCAATACCTTTTACTTTTATCGTTTTTTTGTAACAACAATAATATATGACATAATAGGCCTAATATCAACAGATATAATAATAATAATAATAATAATAATAATAATTATTATTATTATTATTATTATTATTATTATTATTATTATTATTATTATTATTACTATTGTTCTAAAATATTAGACAGGCGGTTTATCGTTGTTTTTTTTAATACTGATTTTGTTTTATTTTAAACAACTTAATACGGTAAAAAGGTTGATCGGGTGAATATAAATGTTCGTGCCTGTGCCACTGCGTACAAGTGAATGCTATTTTTAGATTTATATAGTCACCTTTTTCTTTGTATTTCAAAAAGTGATCGTCAGTATGATATCACGACTTAGCTTAGTTCTGTATATTGGCAATATTGATAAACGCAGAGGCTATAAATTACTTGTGAAAATTATTTCAAAATTAAAGTACTCACCGCGTATATTGTATTTAACACGTAGACAGCATAATTGCAACATTTTGCTGCCCCAGTAAGTGTTCTAACAGGCTGGACCAAGTTCGCCATGTTGCTGTCTCTCGCTCTTTCTGTGTATCAATTGCGTTAGTAGCTCTGACTAATGACTTATTTGGTCATTTCCTCTCCCCCAGCTGTATCAATTATATCTAAAGTGTACGGACGTTTAGAAGCTCAAACCTTTGTTATTCACTCTAAGACTCACTGCTTATGCAGATGCCTACGTATATGCGGGATGAACGTACGATGTTCTCTTTCCTCTACCCTTTTTAGCACTTATCTTCAAAAGTGATATTCTACAAAATTCTTAGTTAAAAGGAAACTTTAATAATGAATTTATTGAGGAAATCCGATACAAATATGTCAACTGAGTCACAAATAGCATTGTTAAACCTAAAAATATCTTAAATAAATCCATCCTGATTGTAAACTAAATATTTCTTGTTTAATTTACATCATCTCTGATACCACAATTATGACGTGTCTTTGGAAGGACTTGAAGTTGATTGTATAATACCAATATATTACACTTACGAAGAATGAAAATGAATGGAGTATGTTAATCAAAATTTAACGAATTGGATTGTGGATATAAATTAGTATATATAAACCTGGGGATTCTAATGTAATGTAAGAGTCAAAAGACATCAAAGGTAAACATAAACGCACATGTTGACCAACATAAGAAAGGAAACAACCCTGAAGGCGCCACAAAGTAAGTCACAAATGGCGAGAGTTAGTATGAGCATTTTCGCAAGATTACTAGCGTTTCGGTGATACTCAAATAGGCATGCATTATACAAACGAATCTATAGGCACTTGTATATTTTTTGCTATTTCTTTGCAAGGAAAACAAGTTGGAAAACCGAGATAAAAGTACTTCAAACGCATGCAGCTATCCGGTTCTATTCATGCAAAGTTCATTCAGTGGTAGGCAGCCTATCGGTGAAATGAGTAATGAATATAATTAGGAACATGGTGACGTACAAAGGAAACAGTGGTTACCTCTATAAATTGTATCGTTGTTGATACTGAAAGTTACAATTAACAGTTAAATTTGATTAATTCATTTAATTCGGTGTTTCAAGACAGAATATGATGCTTATATCTTGTTGGCTAAAGTCATACATGTCCTTGATATGGTTGTAAATAGTTCTGAATATATAACAAGGAATTTAACACCCCTTAAGTTATAAAAATTAGTTTATATTTCAATTTAGTCACCCATCCAATTAATGTCATGCAATTGTCCATTTGCTTTGTTAATTAAGTAAAACCTTGTTTCACCATTGCGTAAGAGTTGACCTCTTTACGCAAATAGTAATAATGTGAAAGGAACATTTTGATATCTAATAAATGTAGAACGTTGAGTAAATTACCGGTATCCCTATTTTAGGATAATTCATATACTGTAGGCCTATTATTTAGAAGACTATGATCGATAAAGCAAAACTTTTGTTTAACTGTAATGCTGAAGATAGATTAAAATATTATGACAAACACTTATTTATGTAGTTTAAGTAGAACTTTATTCAAAATATCATAAGTCAAAAAAGTGAAATATGTCTGTTGTTTGTTTAACAATATAGTTTACCATTACAAAAATATACTTTCAACAAATGTCTAAACAAAAATTAAACCAATCGTTTCGACTTATCCAATAAAGGGGACGAAGCTTAGTCATACTAGTGGGGAATACATTGTAGGCCTACATACTAATCAATCTGTAAGTTTAACCTTACATTGCATTGCTCTTACTAAATCCGAACGGATTTACAAATATCATGAACTATTTGATTGTTTAAAACATTTTATTTAAATACTTTTAATCATGCACACATGATTTTAACTTCTAGACCACTGTTTGTATTTTGTAGCAATTCATTAATGTTAAAATCGTTACAGGTACATCCCATAATAGATGAGTTTACCGGCAAACAATATCACGTCATGAGACATCACAGCTTAAAAAACTCTGTCCAGACTATCAAATTTCATTTGACAATGATATGTCTAGATTTGATCATGATGACATCACATCATGACCACTAGGAACATCATGACTATATAATTAACATGCAGCAGTTTTTTGACAAAAAAAAAAAAACAATTTTATCTGGACAGAGCTTATGAAGAATCAGTTTGCTGAAAGAAACTGTCGAAATGACAGTGAAAGATACTGTAAAGCAACAATCTAGACTTAAAGGTAACTTAAGCTATGCAAACAACAGAGTCAATTAAAAGTATCTGTGCACTTACTTCTGTTGTAGTTAAAGAATGACTTTAACGATGACTCATTATGACACAGTCTATGATGAAAATTAATTTCCTCCAGTGTTACGTCATTAATAAAGTCTAATGTCTCTTTCCGGCGTTTACTGTCTTTTTGTTTTAGTATAATCGTAACATGTCACTTTTTACGAATAACTGATTTTAGAGGTTTTTACACTTTTACCTGTTAACATTGTAGTTGTAAGACAAGCTTTGCTATTGTAATTTTAAGAATAGTATTATCTCTAAAATCTCTAGTATAATTGTTATTGTGTCAATAAATTTCTTAAATTATTTGTCTTTGAAACCAATGAAACAAGAATACAAGTAGAATTACTTTAAAAAATGCATTTTTTTATTTTTTTATTTTTCGATTGACATGTGACTAACAAGAAGTAGGCCTATACATAATGCCAGTGGTGTGTCCTATATTATCATACTGAGATTTATGTTTTTCTATCTGACTATATAGGCCTAACTCTATAAGATTGCTTAACCTTAGGCTAACCCTCGAGCATTTCTTCATCAAAAATTGAAGAGTTTCATTAATTCGCCTATAAATTATACGTTTTAAATAAATAGTTTTATGACTATAGCTTAATAAAGCCACTAACATAATGTTAACTTAAAGTTGTCCGACTGTTGCTTTTGTTTCTTCGGCACAGTAGTGTCAATGAACATTATCCAGTTGAGGCTTATCCGGTTGAAACCAACCGCAGAGAGGGTATTTTTACGTTTCTTGTATAGGCTTTTAAATTATTTTAATATACTGTCTGTTTCTACAAAAGCACTCCAAAATGGATTGTGAAACTCAACATTGCTTTTATAAAATGAAAGATCTGATGGGTCACATTCGACACAGGACGAACAATGAAAATGCAAGCCCAAGTAGCTGAAAAGAAAAAAAAAAGATCGCTGTTTATACTATGAAGTTAAACATACTTCCTCGGCTTAGGCCTTAATGCATTACAGGAACGTTAGTAATTTGTTTACTTTCTGGAGACAGGTTAACTATTGATAAAATGTATGTTTAATTATTTATTTATTTTTAGATTTATATAACATGAAATTCAAGTATACTACTAGTGTGCCTGCTTTGTATTGTGGTCCTGGTAATTATAATAATAATTAATTTAAATATTTGAGGCAGTAATTTATTATTATTGTGACGTTAATCTTTGGACAAGTTACCTGAATACCAGTAACTCCAACAACACATCCAGAAATAAGAACAGCAAACACAGACGTTTGTTGCAAGACAGCGTCATAACATCCCTATAGTATGAAAGATATAAAATAATTTACATCACTTAACCATAGTAATCGTCATCGTAATTATTTAGTATTCAGACAAACAGAAAAGAAAAGCTTATGCGCGCCTAAATGAAATAAAATTATTTGTGATTCTCTTTTTTTCCTTTTTTTTTTTTTTGGAGGGGGAATTGTGGTTATATTTTGTGTTTATTTACCAGTTCTTGTATAGGGTGACGGTGTGTGATGTTTTGTATTTCTTTACCAGTTTTTGTATAGGATGAGGGTGTGCGAGTTACTATGCATTTGGGGGACAAATTCCCTTAACCATGATACATATTGTTGGATTAGCGCAGGGTAAATGTCACAAAAGCCGGTCATTCACTGCGTCTTACCTTTGGAAGACGAGCGTTAGACGACGCGACGCCGCGGCGCGCCGTCTGCTGATTGGAATAGGCTGGTTGTCGCGTGAGTGTCGCGTGAGTGTCATGACGTTGCATTCTTCATAGGAGCGCGTCCGCGCGGCCGGCGAGCACAGTGGATGCATGGCTTACGAACTTTGTGGAGTAATGTGCCCTACACAGTAAACACCTCACCTTTCCGTACACATTCTGGTATCCATTGAAATTATTTTGGCAATCATTCTGATTAATAATATTTTCACCATCACTATCCTCGACACAACATGTCGAAGGAACCTTTAAACGACGTACGATCGGCTGCTCTCGGTACCAGTTGGAACGTTTGTATATCCGGGCACCGGATGTGTTTGTCTTTACACCACAGCAGTCAAACTATTGGTATCAAAATATATATTAATTGTTTTTCCTAATCACATTACTATCATTAGAATTAGAGACATAATGGTACTTGGTACTTGGTATGTGTCTTCTCCAAAAGTTTCCATACAGGCAGGAATTTGGACTGGAGTGGAGGTTCGAATAATAATAAATCAATACAAACATACATTTCTAATGTGGATAACATTCCAAAACTAATGGCTCATTATACATCATTGAAATACATTTAAAACAACGGAAATCGTTAATTTTAATATGCTTTGAAATTTAAAAATTTAGTATCAAAACGGGTGGGGGGGGGGCACCTGTCCCCATGCCCCTATTGGATTCGCCTCTGCAGAAATGAAAAGTAGGCCTATTGCTTCCAAGAAATCGCTACGCAAAGTAATGATATCCGTAAAAACGATTTTATGGAATTATGCGATTTTCAATGTTTCTGATAGGCTTACTGTTCCTTGGATGTTGTTCCATGCGGCAGTCATTGGATCTAGTTTTTTATATAATTTTTATAGATTTTTAAGTCTTTTAATATAGTTTTAATATATTTTTTATAGAGTTTTTATAAATTTTTTATAGTTTTTTTATATATTTTTAATAGATTTTTAATATAGTTTTAATAGATTTTTAATAGAGTTTTAATAGATTTTTAATATAGTTTTAATAGATTTTTAATAGAGTTTTAATAGATTTTTAATATAGTTTTAATAGATTTTTAATAGAGTTTTAATAGATTTTTAATATAGTTTTAATAGATTTTTAATAGAGTTTTAATAGATTTTTAATATAGTTTTAATAGATTTTTAATAGAGTTTTAATAGATTTTTAATATAGTTTTAATAGATTTTTAATAGAGTTTTAATAGATTTTTAATATAGTTTTATAGTTTTTTATATATATTTTTAATAGATTTTTAATATAGTTTTAATAGATTTTTAATAGAGTTTTAATAGATTTTTAATATAGTTTTAATAGATTTTTAATAGACTTTTTATAGTGGGCTTCTATAGTTATTTCTATAGAATTTTCTATAGATTTTCTAAACAATTATGCTATAGACATTCTATAGTTTTTTTTTTATAGAATTCTATAGAATTTTTTTGTATGGGCAGTGCCTTTATTAAGTTCAAAATAGTAATAAGCCTAATGTGTCCATAACACATGGTAAAATATTATTTACAGACAATAATATTCCATTTATTAATGCCATGATTTTGTTCTTTCCCTATTAGCATCGACGCAAGTCTATTTGTATCTCTAATTATTAACTTAAATATTTTCCTAGCTAGTTTTTACCCAGGAAGGTAGTTTATAATTTCTACTTACCCCAAATACCAGATTATACAAATACAAAAATCCTTTGCAAACATTAGCCGCACAGGAGCGAACTTTAACTGTGTTGACAGCCGGTGCTATGCTTGATAGACCTTTACTCTTATTTTCCTTTTCCATTTTGAACAATTCGATATCCTTAAATTTTGTCAGGAATGTTTTGGATAGTAAATATAGTATCAAACGGTTGTATATTTTTAAACTATGAGAGGTATTGACTATCCGTGGACCCTGATATTATGCTTTATACTGACTTAGTACTACTCTTTATGTTACTTGGCTCTCACTGCGAAAAGTTGAAATAATTTTGATAACGAATTTGAAGGAAATCCTAATTGACTTCAATATGCAGAATGCAGTTTATGTGACTCATAGATAGTCTGAAGCAAACGGTAACAAGAATTAATCACATTTCCCTTCCATTCGATGAAACTTGTTCATGTAATGTATTGCGACGTTTGATCACATTTTATCAGACTAAGTAATGATTGATTGCCTATTGTTATTTGTTCGTACTGATTCAAATTAATGATTGATTGAAAGTATAAAAGTTAAACTTTACAAAACGATCTAATACGTGAATCAGTGATTCATAAGGTTTTAATTTCAGCTTAAATTGGTATCAGCGGATAATGTTAAGTACGTACACTCAAAGAGTATATAACAGGTACGCTGTAAAAGTTTGTAAATTGGGCAAACTAATTTGACAACCTGGCAATTGTTTATTTTCAAGATGGCTGCGCGCATAGGGTGGGGTATATTCTTCTCCCAAAAAGCGTTTTATTTTCAGTGTATTTGTGATAAATATTGCAATTTAATAAATTAATAATGAGTCTTAAAACAACAAGCCAGTCTGAGGACAGAAAGAATGCAAGATATTTAGTTGGAAAACTGAAAAATTTTGATCCAAACTTGCAGGCCTACTTCATGTTATCGGCCTGTTGCTTAGAAAGACGTAGCGAGCCGAAGGATTCGATTGCCGTGGACCGTGAAAGCATAGGCCTAGAGGAGCCTTGCATGAAATATGATACAAAAAGTGTATTATTTACGCCTCGATCTGTGCCTGTTGTTGGTAGACAGACCTATCCAATGTGGAAAGGTGTGGTCTCTGGTTTGGGATTCAATCGAAAATGGAAAAATCCTAAAACATTGCTGTTTTTACCGATAGAGACACTTCCAGATCGGGTGAAAGAGTTCAGAATTGGAGAGAACTCTTTATTGCAATGGCTGTGTAACTTTTTGAAAATATTTTTCTCAGGGATGGATGTTAAATTTGACAACAGCTATGATTTAGCCCAAGTGAAGTTCACAAAAAGAACACACAGTGTCACAGGTAAAGAGCAAATTCTGGTTTCTGACTTGTATTCTAGGCTCCACTCTTCTTTCAACATTCCAATGTCAACTTACATTCTTGCCCTCACATGGACAGATCTTTACCCGAAAAAAGAGCTGAATTTTGTGCTTGGTGAAGCATCATATAGCTGTAGGTGTGCTGTATTCGGATTTGGACGGTATGAGCCTATGTCATATGTTAGTACACCAGAGGGTGACGATGCTACAAAAGGTATTACAAAAGAAAACCAGCTTGGTATGGATAGCCAGCTCTTGTGGAAACTTATCAGGGTATGAAACCTCTACTTGTCTTAAAAATATTAATTAATTTTTTGTACTTGTATAAACAAAATCACATATGTTATGCAAAAAAAAAAAAAAAAAATATTTTCCATATGTCAATAATTATGCAAAATATATGAAATGAAATGTAAACCTGTGGTATGTGATTGAATTTTACTTTAATTTAAATATTTGCCAGACTTGTCCATGTGTATTAAATTACAATAATATAAATAGTCAATTGTATGTATTGCAATAGTATTTTGATTGATGACCTTCTTTGTGACATGTAAGGACTTGTGCTTTATGAAAATATTGAATCTGATTCTTAAGTCTTTTTCTATTTTAGGTAGCAAGCCATGAAACATGTCATCTCCTTGGATTGAATCATTGTCTATTCTTTGAATGTTCAATGAATGAAAGCAAGTCAGTGAAGGAAGCTCTTAGCCAGCCTTTGTTCCTTTGTCCAGTCTGTCTACGTAAGCTTCACAAGAGCCTAGGATTTGATATCCGCCAACGGTACTCTGAACTTAAAAATTTCCTTCAGAACACAAATAACTACTTTCAGAATGACAAATTCGAAATAAGTATAGCATGGTTAGATAAATGCCTGGAGAAGCTTAAAATCAAATCTTGAGTAACTTTAACTAATTATATTTCACTGTGGGTGCAGTTGAACTGTGATTTGTATTGGGCCTTCTCAATCAAGAAGTTGAGGTTCAAAACCCACACTGCATTTTTACATGTGTTCTTGTTCAAGATACTTATCTCTCGCTCTACCACTGAGTATCAAAAGACAGGCATGCTGAAATTTAATTACCATATTTATTTGAATAAAAACACATGGCATTTGTTGTTGAAAAGTGTTTTTGAGGTGGTGTTTATTTGGGGAGGCTTTCGTTTTTTTTGGGCGTAAAATTGATACATATATACTCAAATAAACGCCTGATAATTTCACTGTAAATGTGGAATTATAACACAATAACACATGATTATCGTAAAACCAGGTTAGAAAAAATGTAATTCTACTGGAGTAGAACAAATATGTTGAAAATGATGTAGCTTCCATTAGATTTGTTTATCCTCATTTAGGGGTGGTGTTTATTTGAGGTAGGCGTTTATTGCAATTGAGGCTTTAGAAGGGGCGTTTATTTGAGGGAGGCGTTTATTCAAAGCGGGGCGTTTGTTCAAAGAAGGGGCGTTTATTCGAGGGAGGCGTTTATTCAAAGCGGGGCGTTCAAATAAATGCGGTATGTTGTGATATAGTGAGAGATAAAAGATTGGTAATTTTAATGAACAAAGTACTAATGCATGCAAGTATTAGAAATCTTATTCATATGTTTTATATAATATTCATAATTGTATTAATCTTTAGAGTGCAATCTAGGACGATTTTAACGTTTTTATCTTTTGATTAGAAAAGAATTTAAAAGTTTACCACTGAAATCATGATTAACAATTTGCATTAATCAGGCATTCCACCAGAAACAAAAATGCTGCATTAAGAAGAGACAAATATGACATCAGTCGCACAGTATTTCTTTGTACAAAAGCCATAATCTGACACTATTTCTTATTACTTATAGTAATTTAGTTTGTTTTGAAACAGTAGACTTTACTTATGTAATATGCGAATTTGTGTAAACCAATTTTATTTGCATATGTGCTTGTTGGTGTAATGTTTGTGAATGAAGGTTTTCTACCTGAAATATGCCTTTTAAAATGAATTATGGGAAATTGCTTGTTTTTAATATTTTATTAAAATTATAGTTTTATTTACAGTGTATTATTTGTATAATATTATCAAATAAAATATTAAAATTTATATTAATACTCTATCATTTTAATTGCATACTGTAATGTTTTAATACATGGCTCACTTGACCTATGCTTTGATGTTTCTTTTGTCCTAAGTATTACAGTACAGTACTAAAAATATACAACAATGTTATTCCATTTTGGCATTTTTATAAAGTCGATGAGTATGTTAATATATATATGGTTTTGTTTTTTCCTGTATTTTACATTTCCTGTATTTGTGTAGCTTGTGCTTTTTTAGCTGTTGGATACTAGCAATTATAAACAATTAAATGTCAAAATAAGTAAAATTATTGATAGACTGTGTAGAGATCTTATTGGAGTCCATAATCATACACGAGATATGCTTTATTATCAATTAACACAAACATTCTGGTTTTTTTTTGTTGTCCAAATACGATATGACGTCAAACGCTACACAGTACATTCTGAAATGAGCCAACTGTCTATACTGTAACAGAAAGTTTAAAAGACACTACCGTAGCCAATCAAAATACAAGCCAACTTTTCGGGTAAGCTCATTCTGACTTCAGCGTTATTTTTCTTTTCTCTGGATCTTCATGTTTCAATATATTTTGCCTCTTGTGACGTTTTTGAATTGAATTTATTCATTAATAAGGTAAAACAGGAAACAATAAAGGCAGAAGTGCAACAAACAACCCTGGTATAGGAAAAGCCATAAAAAGTAGCAACTACTTATTTCCACATAGGTCTCATAAAACGATTTCAAATTGCACAGTCCAATGGAGGAGAAAACAAAAGAAAAAGAAAAAGAACACAAACAACTTCTAAAAACATGCAATAAAATATTCAGTAAAAAGTTGGCCTTAAATTTTATTAAAATGTTGTGTGCCTCTTCTCGATATCTTGACGGTTAAAATGTGAATATTGTTTAGCTTTAGTATTTGAGTTAAATCACAAAATTCATGAAATGCCTAATTATTGTCATTGGCACCCTCACTCCTTTTTAATCAACTATTCATATTGTAACTATGATTAGTGGCGTATCCAGGATTGTAACGCTGCCAGATAAATCAATTCTAAGAATTTGAGACTTTATAAATGCCCGAGAACCGCACTTGGATAGGCCTACTTAAAATTAATGAAGATTACCATCCACCTCAAGCCACCACGGTTGACGCTGAGGTATAAACTACCATATACATGATCCCATCTAGGGTTCGGGCTCAGGCTCATTTTATAAATTTGAGACTTTAGATGCCGAAAATGGAACTTTAATCCATAAAATCTACGAAAATAAAATCCACCTAAGCTCCATCGTTATGATGGATCTTCTAGATACCGGAAAATGGCACTTTAATTCTTTAAAATTTATGTCAGCAACCCCCCCCCCCCAGGTACGCCACTGATGATGTCTCTCATACTAGAAGTAGGTAGTTTTAGAATTGTGTGTTCAAGATGCGGCGACTCCAGATCTCAAGTTCAATTTAATTTTTTACCACAACTAAAATGTCTATGAGCCTCATAAACGATACCGGTACCCTGTAGCGAGGCAATGCTGCATGTAACGTAGACTTGCCCCAAGTGATTTTTTGATTTTTCGTAGTATTAGCACATTTCGGAAAGCGCCACCAGTCAGATTATGTCGAGAAACTTTTTTGATGCGAATTTGAGAAAAAGTATACTATGAAACGCCAAGCAAATAGGTAATATGGAACGCCATTGGTGCCAAAATCGATTTTCCAGCTTTATTACTGAATAAGACAAAGTTTAGGGACTGGAACCCAGTCTATACGTAACGACTCACAACAGTGTACATTGGCGAAAACTCACGCGCCCAGACAAATTGTTTGGTGACAACTTTTATTAGGCTTTACACATGAATGATCTAAAATGTTCCACGCCTATTTATTATGAGATAATTAGTTACTAATACCATACTCATGATTTACTGTTTTCAATAGATAAATTTCGACATAACAATAACATAATGATTTCAATATTCTGATACACATTTATTCAAAAATCAACAGTAGAATGAAAGAGCATGGAATTGAAGATCAGTTATTGCACTTACTGATGAGCTCATAGTAGGCCTAGTTAGTCTGGTGACAGCCACTTTTAGTGCGCATTGTAAAATTGGTGTAATTGAATCTATGGTTAAGCAGAAATTGAAATGTATATTACAGTATACTGAATCTAATAATATAGGCCTACTGTATAATATTATACCACTGCTTTTCTTGAATGAAAGATATCTACTTTATCCTGCTATTGCACTGAAGTACCCCAGTGTTCGATATGAAGTAGGCAATTTGTATATTTATTCAAAATGACAAAATATGTAAATTCATTTTACTCTTAAAATAATACAATTTGGCTATACAAAATAGGCCTATACGCAACCCTAATCAAAATTATAATTTGCGAATATATTTTTTTATAAATAAATCAACTTAATAAATATAATAGTTAAATATATGTTAATAATTATACTAAACATTACAATGAACATTTTGAATTGGTAGATTAAAAGATACTCTTAATGTCTTATGGAAACGGGATTGCACATAATGCCAACATAGATGTAATTAAACATTTTAGGCTTCTTCTGGAACTAACTGGACAGTAACAAGTTCTGGTTCCATTATCTTCGAATCAATTTCTGCTTCTTCTGGGACTAACTGGACAGTGACGACTTCTGGTCCAAATCTATTGATCACATTGTCTGCTTCTGTTGGAGGCAATTCTGCAACTTGTACAGATTGCTTGACTTGTGTGTCTTCTACAGATCTCTTTCTACGATCCTTGATGATTCTGTAAGTCGCATGGTATCCCTTATAAGTGGCCGATTCATCACTGTGAAACAATAATGTGATCCCACCAGTGAACTGCAAGACCATATCTACTCTAGATCCACAATACTTTGACGATGTCAATTTGCCGTCTACACTATGTGTGATCTGCAAGGAAATTATACACAAAATAAAAACCAAATTAAGATGGCAGTGTTATACACATTTCCATGATTTTAATGATGATTAGTGAGGGCGCCCTACTAACATAACATAAGGCTAGGAAATTTCGAGTTTTAGCAGATATATTTACACATTCAAATGAAAACTATATTCCTCGAAGTTTATAGGAAATTGGCATTTAAGTTAACTACTGAGAAAACGCTAACAGCTTATTCACAATTATTTTAAAATAATTCAATTTAGGAGCAACCAATACCGATGCATTTCAAGTGAGCAGCTTCACTACATTTAGCGGCGGTAACGTTAATGGCAATCTTTTCTGAATAAAATGTTTAACATGGAAAAACATTTTGTGCTAATGTAAATTAACTACCTTCAAGTAATCATAGATACAATTTGGTGCCTCCTCAAGTTCGAATTCTTCAAATGTAACCTCAATATTATCGTTGTCATTTGCATCTATTACAACCTTACAGTTATCATTGTTATCGTAGTTATGATCAGGATAATTCGGAGACGAGATTGACCCTTTAGATCCAGCTAACGTCATATCGCAACTTGCCGCTGATTTAAGAAAAAGAAATCATACCCATTGATTAAAATTCGTCAAACTTTAAAACATTTTCCATAGAGTTAACACTCTGAATAATACCTTTTAGAAATGAAAGTTGGTAAATGTTTCGCAGCTCATCTTAATAATAGAGGATGATAGTAATTTGTAGATTCGAATGGCAATGTAGCAGAGGCATCACTATCCTCTTTAAGATGCTGCTGTTTCAAAACCCTCCTCACTCAGGGATCGGTTGTATTAGCGGATATGGATTTAATACTACAGTACTTCCAACGTAGGCTGCTCATGGTCATTTTTAAGACCCCCATAGCATCTTTTGAGAATAAGAGTTAATCAACAATCCCCTGTTTTATCACACTCACTGTCGTGGAATGATTTGAGCATAAAGTTGCTATGCGCCTCTTTACGACTGCTACGGTAGTCAAGGACTAAACCCCGTACACAATAATTTAGCACAATGACGCTGTTGGATACTTGGTACTCAGTGCACTCATGGAGGAAAGGAACACTTCTTTTTGATTTACCAAAAATCTAAACCTTTACGGTATGTCTGTACTTTTATCTTTTAACCCACTCTATGCTAAAATAGTTTAGTTTGTCCAAACTCACCATCCGCCTCTGTTTCTTCTGCCTCAAAGCTTTCATAGTCAGCTTGGAAGCCCTTCTTACTCGTTCCTTTGTCGCTATGAAACTCCACTTTTACCATGTTAGTCTCCGAAGTCCATTCGAATGATGATCGAGAGCCACAGAAGATAGCCTCTGTTCCGGTACCTTCATCAGTCAGCTATAGAATAAAATATGAGAAGAGCATATTAGAATTATCCTTCATAAATTTTTCAAGATTAAAGATATATTGACTTCGTTAACTAATACCATTGAAGTATTATTTGAATCGCTTAAATGTGTGTGTTTAAGCAAGGGGGAGTTAACTTCCTGGCTAAGTAAGTTATTATTAGGTTCAATAAAAAAGTACTTTATTTTACAGTTAACAAAGACAAAAAAGATACCATTTAGCCTTTCAATAGATCCTTAACTGTATCAGTTTAAGAGTTTTTGTTTTGAAACGTCTGTAAAGTAGTCAAAACTGATCTGCCTTTATCTGTGTTTAACTTGCAACTTATTCAGTGATCAGCCAACGTATACATGTTACTACATCATTAATTATTTTATAGAAAAAATAAAACTACAAAGAAAAAAATTGTGTTTGATTTCATTATTTCGTTGTTATAAGCAGGAAATAAAAATATTGAGAAAATAATTTACCTACTCTATTTCAAAGTTAAACATTAAGCCACGATTTAATGTGTGCTACTTACTCTAACGTAGTCTTTTTGGCAGTTACCAGAATTCTGTAATTTGAACACATTGAAGGTGATTCGAACACGGTGACGATTCTTGACTCTAATTTTCGTCACACAGTCAGCATTCGCCATGTATTTATTTGGGTAGTTCGGTGAGCTAAATGAACCAGAGTCGGCATCATGTTTCATGTTACAACCTTTAGCTGAAAATAAGTTGTCAAAATGTTTACCGCCAATGGTATGACTTGCATATGTGATTCAACCATTGAATAATTGGTTTAATGTTCCAATATTTAATTTGATTTATGGTTATGATAGATAGATAGATATCATCACCATCATCATCGTCATTATCCTCATCATCATACCACAACCACCGTCACCTCTGCATTTTTATACATTGATATTTTGGGCTTCTCGGTAAAAGATAATAAAGTTTCCATAAAAAAAACTGATCCTTTTTAGGTCGATTGGGCTTAAACAATCCAAGTTGCTGGATCATATTATCATTCAATGGAAATACATACTTGTGCATGCTGGTTTTGAACATGGCTCCGGCTCTCCGTCTGGTTTTGTATCTGGATTACATTCTGAATCTGGCAATTTCTCTTTGTCAGCAGAACTTCGGCAAGTAACTGTTCTCACTCTTATGCCATCGCCACACGTTACAGAACACTAAAATAGTATTTTTAACACAAAGAGTACAACAACAAGTACTTATAATTAGTATAACCGTTACAGAAATTAGTCTTTTTGCTTAATTTTTTGTACACAAAATTTATATTATATTTTCAAAATACTGTCTACACAAATAATTTGTATTTAAAATATCTGTTTAAATCAGTATCTGTTACGATATGTATTTGTTTATATAAACATTATAATAATTGATATTCCCCATAAGATAAATATATTAAATTAACATTATTATTCCGAATAAAGTAAGTGGAGAAAGAAAATATTAAATATCTTACGACAAATGTTAAATTAATTTATCATTGACCCATTAGTTCTCATTCACATTGTATTTACCTGACCATATTTTCCGATGATCCAATTATTTACTGGACATGTGCCTGCGTCACACGATCGCTGGTCAATGGGTTGAGCATCATTACACATTGTATTTGCAACTAATTGTCCATCAAGAGTACACGTAACATCACGCGTCTCTTTGCCTGAACCACAACTTTTCGAGCAGGTCGACCAAGGACCAGCTGTCCATTTGGCAACTCCTCCGGCGTTCTTCTGGTAGTATCTGAAACCTGCCATTGGCTGCACTACATCGCCATATTCAGAGCCATATTGTTTGAAAACCTTTACAAAAATTCGAGGTAAACATTTAAGATTATTTATTGATGGTTTCCGATTATTACTATTTTAAGGCATAGAATCCCTCTTTTATTATTATTGTTATCATTATTATCGTCATCATACTCATTATCAACTTCACCATTCACTATCATTGTTCAGTGCTTATCATTGCTCACCATTATCTCAATACTTGCTGTGGTTGGTCCCTTTATAGTAAGGTAGTCAGGCTCATCGCGAGAATAGTAAATTGTATCCAGACCTGCCGACGCCAGTCCCGTCTGTGACCGTTGATTACCCGTACCAATTACCATCTCGCCGTTGAATTTCATGCCTATAATACAAAAAACACTGGTATTGTAACAACAGTATTTGAAAAAATTAACAAATTCAATTAAAATCGATATAAAACTATAAATTAAAATATTAAAAATCTTCAGTATCAATATGCAATTCAAGGACATGTCTAAAATCATCAATATGACATGAACGTGACCAAGTTAGGATTAGACAAAGCTCGAATATGACTCATATTTATTTTTGTTGTTTGCAATTATTTAGTATGCGTCTAAGCACAGAACAAGCTCAAGTTTAGGGTTTTAAAATAGGCTGTGGAAACTGGGTAAAGATACAAAACGTTTAGTAACTTCAGTAGACGTAGGCCTACAATGTTTTCGGTTTGTGTTATTCATTTACTGACTTAACACAAGATACAAGATAATCAGTATAAAATACTTACCTAAGAAAGTATACTTCCCTTTGTCCATAGCAATAACGTTGGTTGCTCCGACTGGTATTGTAACAACCTCGGTAAATTCTAAAAGAGAAATAATTGATGACACTCTTATTTTTGTGGCTCTTCTTTAGGAAGACAAAATTGTCTGTATTTTATCATTTTTAATATTATTGCCTGTATTAATGTATTTATTTTGCTCATCTAACAGACCATGTACATACAACATGGTACCACCTATTACACACATTCACACCCCGTGTTTATTTTTGAAGGCTTAATAGAAACAAAGTATTGACCAATAATAGACCTTACCTCCAAACACGCCAACTTTTTGTACTCCAGTGTTTGGACTGCATTGGCTGCCGTCTCCGCCGCATATTCCACAGATATCGAACAGCTTTCCAGAATTAAGTTTGCCATCGCACCCAACATTCTATTAATAACAAAGCTGATGTAATTACTGATTATAAGATAAATCAGCGATATTGATAATGGGCCGGGAATTTCTCGGTAGAATCTACCAGAGCCCAGCTGACGCTGCGGTACCTGCGTGATGGCGACGCTATATCAAAATTGTATAGTTCTTGTAACATTAAAGCCCCTTGAGACGGTTTTTATTGTGGAAGGCGCTATAAAAATACGGTACATGACCATTGATGCCTGCTTTAAAGCTCTCGCATAGCCCAGTTTACAGTATTAGATCTGTAACATAAAGTGTTTCAATTAAATCAATCTATTTTAGTTATTTTCGGCAGGATTTGATTGGCCTGGAATTGAACTCTAGGACACTGGAATGAGAAATCGAGATATTTAGCAACCAAACTAGAAAAATTTGAATGCCTAACTTACTTCACATCGACCTGCAATACACATCTTATATCCGCCATAGCTATCGTTAAAGTCACAACGGGAACCATCGATAAATTCTCCGAATTCTAACGAGTAAATTGTTTGTCCCTCAATACGGGCACAGTTCATTTTGCAGAAACTTTCAACTGAAATTTTGACAAAAAAAAAATCATTTCAGAATAACAGTATTTATTATGAATAATTTATATTGTGTCACCATTGTATGTAAGTTAAGGTTGATTGAACGTCTTTATGTGTACATTTAGACCTATTAAACTCGAAACTGTGTTATTCATTTTTCACCTCGATGGAATATAGGCCTAGTAGAACTGTACCTGAAGGGTTAGAAAACTCTCTTATTTAAATGCACATATTCAGTAGGCCTACTTTTAAGTAACAAAACACTCGGACAGTAACTGTCTTTTAGGTAATAAATGTTATTGTCCATGTCACTCCGTCTTTTTGTCTTATATACCAATTAAATATATTTTGTATATATACATAAACTGAACGCTGGTATTAATAATTAGAATCCTTACGATTATAATAATAATTCGGTTGCCATTCGAAGCCTTCTCCAGATGGATGGTCTCTCTGTTGGGCGCACTGTTCTTCGACAAACAGAAGCTGGGAACTCTCACAATACTATGACACAAACAAGAATTGTTTACTGTAGATTAATGCTAGAAACACAAAATAGAACTCTCGCGTAGCATAATTGAAGCGGAAATACGTCATATCTTGTACGCATCTCTAAAAGTACGCGGTGGCATCAATCTATTTCCAATACTTTAATGGTAATTTGCGTAAGATTGTTTATCTCCAACCATGTGTCGCCGGGCACGACTGCAATACACAAACTTATGTTAGTAGGCCTACAGTATACCCACCAACATGCAATTAGGTGATACCGTTTTTATATGTAGACAATTTAAGTAATTTTTCTAGTATCTTTTTGTAAATTGTGATGCTTTCATATAATAGAAAGTAACGTGTTATAATAAACAAAAAAATGGTCTAATTAGATTCAATGTATTTATCTTTTGATTAACTACTGTATTTATTTATTTATATTTACCTGTAGATTACATATGTCGTAAATAATTGACTCTCCTTGACAAACCTTCCCACCAAATGCTGGTCTACAAAAATAAATTCATTTATAAGTTAGTTTGTTATCTTATAATGCTAATTAATAACGAATAATACTTCATATTTGATATTATAACCGATAAACACAGTGTTAATTGAACTTACGGAGGATTATCGCATCGCCGGGTCTTGCTCCGCATACCGCCGCCACATGTTCGAGAACAATCACTCCAAGCTGAATCAAACTCTGACCAACCACCATCCACGGCAGCCGGTCCTTCAGATCCAAAGTCAGTACAAACACCTTTACGGCACCACTATAGACAGATTAAACATGTTATAAACAGATTAATAATGGTTTAATATACAAATGTATATTGACATTGTTACCCACTGACTGGCGGTGTTTTTGTTGCAGTGGGCTTCATTAGTTACGCCGATTAACTTCGTTAATTATACATCATTTAGACGTTCGGTTCAGTTGAATGATAACGTGGTTTAGTGCTATTGTAATAACATAAAATATAATATACAGGGGTGGCGCCAGTGGAGGGCCGGGGCCAGACCTATCCCCGTCGATGAGAGCTTCCCACCCCACCCCTCGGGGACAAAAACCACAATTTCGGTACATATTAGTTAGACTCTAAAATCGATTAATAAGCTTTTGAAACTAGTAAATTGGCATATTTTTCTACTTTTACTTTTAAAGATTCTGAGCGATGCCCGACCACGCCCACTTTTATCTCGTCGGGGACATAATAAGCATAATACGATACCGGTACTGACCGGAGATGACATACACAGTATTGCACAGTATTGCCAAAAACACCAATGAAAAATGGGCACTCTTTTTCAATTTCGACTTCTGTTATAGTTAGTTACTGCTACATATAAATTCATATTTCTATTATTCATTAATGCCGACATTCTTACCTTTCCGGGAAGACATTCAGTTCCCTCAAGCATTGGAGTTCCCATAGTGAAGCATTCATTCCCAGGTTTCTCACACCACAGCTCGGTACAATCTCC